TTTCAATTATGAATTCATTTAATCATCAAGACGATCAAAAGTATTGTTTGTCTGATTTTGAAGATTAAAAGTTAAGGCAAAGAAAGCTAAATAATTTCCTCAAGTTTGTGTCAATGACAGTGATAGGCAGGTATTTAACCCATCTCAGACTTCAAAGTTCATGGTCATAATAACTGTGGTAAGTGATTAACTATGGAAAGTGCTTCCACATTCATTATTTTATTTGAGCCTATAAAACTTTATGAGAAGGGTAGAGCAAGCATCCGCTCACTTTACAGGCAATGAACTAAAGGGTTAGAAATGACTAGAGCTGGTAAGCAGTAGGGCAATGGGTTAAGTCTGTGTCTTCTTACTTCATTTGCCATTAAGTACTATAAGAATTCACACGGTGCTGGAGAGGACACAGCATGTGCAAGAAGACATAAAGTTGCATCCCCTGTTCCTCAAATTATAGGCACAAAGTACACTGGGTATCCTTACGAGCATATAGATTGATTGAAGAAGTCCTTTCTTCCTTTCTCCTTGAACCTGTCTTCTCAGCCAAATCTACTTAATAAGAGTCACCTGACAAATGTGTTATTAACAACAAATAAAATAGCACATTTGGATGTTTACTTCCTGCTTTGGTTTATAAAATTGTAAGACTTAACAATATTTTAGTATAAACAAAATGTAATTTTGCCTTTAAGCAAGTCATAGTCACTTTATGGGGTGAGAGAACTTACTCATAATAACCCCAAATGATGGTTTGTGATGTTTGCTGTGAATATTTAGCAAAAAATTAATACAAGTGAGGAATGGTATTGTTAGGTCAGCTTTAGCAAGAAATGCTTAACTGAATCTTGAAGGAATAATTCTTTCAAAAAGAGTGGGTGAATAGGTAAAGGAAGTCATGTGACCCTCAGGTATCTCTGCAGAATTTTTAATCAGCTACCTTGGGAAAAGGTCTTTGGGACACATTCTTCTGTGGTTTCTCAAATTGTTTCAGGTATGAACAAGATTTGCTTGTTCTGACCTTGAGAATGGTACCTGAAGTCCACCATTCAGCACACAATTTTTTGGGTCCATATTTTATACTTCTAGGAATTTAAAATAGAATCATACAAACTCCTTGAGAGCAATACTGTATAACCTTATTAGATAAATTACCTATTTACACGTGTGCATTTCTCAGATTGCTGTTTTTTTTAAGAACTGAGACTCAGAGGAAAGACGAATAATGGCAAAGCACAGCAGAAGGATCTTAACCCTAGTTGGAAGTTCTGGGAAGCTACTTATGACAGCCAGGAAAAATAGGAGGCCATTGGGTATCTTAGAGCTAACAAAACCAAAGGTCTATAGTGGTAATGTAATAGTACCTGCTTTTCAAACTTGTATTTGTTTTTTTATTATTAGTTGTTCGAAACATTACAAACCTCTTGACATATCATATTTCATACATTTGATTCAAGCAGATTATGAACTCCAGGAAGCAGAATACAACAGACACTAGTATGGCAGTATGTAAAAAAGTGGACATGGAACCGATGTGAATCTGCAATATGTATACGGGGTAAAAAATGGGAGTTCAAACTTGTGTTTGAATCCCTGTAACCAACTTGTCTAGGGAGACACAGTATTCACTCAGGGAACACACAGAACCTGATGAACAAGAAACAGCACAGAGCAGGTTTTCCTGTAACCCTCAGACATTCCCACTGTTTTTATCCTAGAGGATATCCCTATTATCTTAGTCCCTATTTGATTTGACCTATATAAGAACAAATTAAGTATGTATGAGTTTGCAAACACTTCCTGAGCAGAGATCTTGCTTTCTCCTAAGGGAGCATGATATTAGAGATGATTGGTATTAAAGGCTCATATCCCCAGCATCCAATGCTTTTCCAGACAAGTCTATTGGATTGGGAATAAAAACACTCAGAACTTTGCCTCAGGACCAACACATGTCCAATCAGTAATATGAACAAGGGAAGTCAGAGTTGCAGGGGTATTAGTGCTACCATGAGATAGCCTTATCTAAGGGCAGATGGAAATTTGTAAATGAATATTCTGCTTAGCTAGTGTAACCTGTTTAAACTAACCTCCAATGTTTGCTAGCATAATGAAACTCAAGTGGCCCAAAGTAAATAATAATATGCTTAATAACACACTATTCACTGGTTTCTTTCCCTTTTCCATCTTACTTCTGTATTCTCTTCATGGAGTTTCCAGGGATCACCTCCAAAATTAGCAGTTGACCTTTGAAGCATCCTACTCATGATAGAATTTCACATAACATAAATGAAATGCATACCACTGACTCCTCTTAAAATTCTGACAGTTCATTGCAAAATGTAACAGGACTTCAGAACATTTCCTATTAGAAAAAAAAAAAAACAAAAACTTTAAAACCACTTTAAATAACATCTCCATTTCTACCCAAAGAAGCCAAGTAGAAAGCCCATTAATAGAAACACTTTGCTCTTGTGCATAATTTTGCACTTTTTAAAACGCTTTCCCATATTTAATCATATTTGATCCTCATGACAACCCCGTACAAAATGTAGGGCAAATGTTAGCTTGAGGGACAATGTGGAGTGGTGGAGAGAGCTCTCTGAACTGGGAGTCTGGAGACCTGATTCTGTCAGTAATTAGCAGTGCAACCACAGGCAAGGCCTTAACCCTCTCTGGGCCTCTCTGTCCTCATCACAGCATGTGGGGCTAGTCGATGGAATTTCAAAGATTGTTTCAACTATGAACATCCTATAAGACTGAAAAGACAGAGGTGGAAGGTGGAGCATATGGGTGATAACTTTTGTAGGGTCAAATAGTGGTCACTAACAGAAATATGACTAAATCAAGATCTGGTGACTTTAGGGAAAAGAAACATTATGTAGAAAATTATATCTTCCAGTGATTTTTGAGTCCCTTATACTAGCCATCTAAAGCACATTAGGTACCACATATTATCATCACTCAAGAAAAATGTCTTTCAGGGTTTGTTTTATCCCCAATTTACTGATGAGAAGCCTTAGATTCCAAGTGTTTATGTCACTTGGCTTAGGTCAAAAAGCTATCAATAGAACTCCTAATATTTTAGCCCATCATCTTTTATTGAACAAGTGATTTTTAGACAACCCACAGAAGTACCAATAATGTTAGGATATATAAGTTTGATATATATGGCTTCAAATCTTGAATTTTTCTTCGATTATATTTCCTCATCTATGTAATTGACACAATAGTGCCATTAAAGTTGTTGAGAAGATCAAAAGTGAGGAAGAATTCAGTCTTTGGAAATCAATTTTTGCTGAAAGATGTTAGTCCTTTTCCCTAATTTCTGCCAAGAATTCTGCCTATCCAGCAAATCCAATGTCACACTGGCAATTTTATATGACTAAAACTTTTCTCTCTCTTGTATACACAAATGGGTAAGGCTGATGGTGCACTGGAAATCTTGAATATCTTGTGAATTAATTTTTCTCCTGTTCTGTGTCTGTCCTGACACTAGTTTTGTAATAAGTGCACTTCCTCCATCTATGTTCTCAGGATTCTTTTTACAGTTACCTGTTCTGTATTGATGACTCTTTTTTTTTTTTTAACCAATGCACCTGTGTGTGTCTATGCACATGAACGTTGTGTGTGCGAAGTGGTATGGAGGAGATTATTACACTAATTTTCATATTCTGCTAGTGAGTGATTCCTAACTAGTGGACTATGACTGTACCATAAGGCTAGTAGGACATGTTGCATATACCAGGGAAATTGCATAATAATTATATTTTAGCTTAAATAACACCAGAAAAAGTTTAATTAAGACTTTTAATTAATAGTTGAAAGATTAATCAATCAATAATTATAGCAATGATGATAGGGTATAATTGTGCTTAATTGGAGGGGGCTGATTAATGATCAGAATAAACCTTTCAGATTCCTTGTCTTGAAAAAATTCAGAAATGATGGATTTTGGCTCATAGAATTAAAATGAAATGCCAGAATTGCAGATGATGGGTCCTTGGCAACTAGGGCATGAAAGGGAAAACACATGATTGAACTAAAAGAAATTATTCTATTGTTCAGCTTGTACATCATTATATTGCTAATTTGTATGAGTTTGAGATTAATGGAAGGAAATAGCATCTGAGGAAGTCTACAGAAACACGGGGGGAAAGAAAAAAAGAAATTGCTTGAGATGGTTTTCTTTGGAAGCTCATTTCTCAGGGGCGCTCTTTCTGTCTCCAAGGGCAAAATGGTTGTTTGAATTCAAATGACATTCTTATCAGTTCATCATAGGAATAGATGAGATAGAGGATCAGACATCTCAAGGACACAGTCCTTGTTTATAGGATGATGACCCCTCTAATTTCTGCCTGATCTGTTCTAATCAAATTCAAATGGCTACTGGGACCAGTGTCAATTCTACCTGAAGATGGTTCAATTCTCTTTGGAGAATGGGTAGGTGATCTCATTTCAGTGTCATCTAACTGAATATGAGGATCAATCCCACAATGTACTGCCCAGAGAGAGTCACATATGCTCAAGGATTGAGAGAATGGATTTTCAATGTAGATAACACCACATTTTTGTTCCTGGCACATCATTCTCAGGAAATAGACCAAATATAGTACAACCTCACAAAATATTTTCAAGTCTTTCAGCTTACTAGAAAATCTATTTTGGCTACAAATTGGGAATTGTCTGCTCCTAAACTTTATCAGTGACTTACATCATTTCCTCTTGTCTCTCTGGAACTTATGTGTATTCTCTTAACGCCAATGAATTTAATCATGACACGTTTTCTATATGAAGAGTATTTAAGTAGTTCATGAACTCAATCAAGGTTTATATTGAATATGTACTTTATCAATCTGAATATGTACTGGTTGCTCTGGTAGATGCAAACAGAGAAGAAGATTGTGTTTTTATGCCATTAACTTTTATAAAGGTAACACACATAATTGATTGAGAGCACAATGTAGTGATGACAGTAATGGAAATAAAGCCTAACATTAATAATTGCTCATCTATATTTGCTGCATATTGACAAATTACCTTAATTTCTTATCTTCAATTATTTCATCTGTACATGGAAAAAAAACTTATTATGATTTTTCCAAATTTGAGACCCTACTGAATTACAGCAATGTGATTCTGACATGAAATGCCCAGTGTTGGCACAGACTTCACAAGGTAACAACATAGTGCTCATTCAGTCTGATCTTTCTTCAGTCAGACACTACCTACAAGTTCCAGGGTTTCCAGAGTAACCTCACTTCTGACCAATTGATTACAAATTTGTTAATTTCCACTATCACCTCCAGTGGAATTACTCATTAGAATGATTCAAACAACTAAATAAAGTGCTTTATCTGTAATAATGATTTTATAATAACATTTGATCATGTGCTTGAGCTCAATTTTCAGCACTTCCCTTCCCTCCTTGGACATTGAGAAGGTGGGCTGATACCTCATGGCTTCAAGCCCCCACTATCTAATCATGGAAGGTCTTTTGTATACGAGCAGCTTGATACTGTAACTATATAGAGGCCCACCATAAATCACCTTGTTAGCATAAATGCATGTATGACCCCAGAGCCCCACCTTGAATAAAAAAATATTCCTATCACTTGGTGAATTTCTAACACATTTTCATCTCAAGAAACAGAAAAAAAAATTACCAGACTCTTTATCATTCAACACCTATTGGTTCTTATATTGTAAGTCTACATGTTTTAGTGTTTTATTACTTTAAATTTTAAGCAAAAGTACAATGTCATTTTTTCATTATTAGGGACTGAAACAAGACAAAATTATTTTATTCATATGATACAATATTATGATTTAAGAAGAAAGAAATATTAGTGTTGGCTTCAGTAGTCAGTGGTCAGAAGAATTTTCATATCCAACAGAACGTAAGTTGGGTTTTGCAGGATACACATAATCTGTTAGAAAGAAAAGATCCCTTATGCTTCATATAAGCTGCCAAGGAAGTTCAAAACAATTTTACAGATACTAAAACTAGAGTTACCGATAGTTTATTTTACTTTTCTTTATATTGTTTTAGTGCAATACAGCTCAAGAGAGCCTAAGTGTTTTTCTTCACATGCCCATGAAAATCAACTTACAAGAGAAGCAAAGGAGCAACAGCTTTTAGGCCAAATCTCTGTTTTCTTCCTCAGTGTATATTTCGATGCAGGAAACACCAAGAGTCTGGTACCCACCTGGACTGTGAGCCAAGAATGTGGTTCCATTCTGATTTCTACCAAATTCTAATTCACTGAGTTCATTCAAGATACTTGACCTCTTAGAAATTAATTTTTATCTACCTGCTAAGTGAGAAGGGAAACTGCTATACCTAACTTGCAAGGTGATTTATTTATTTATTTATTTTGGTACCAGTGATTGAACCCAGGGATAATTTACCACTTATCCACATCACCAGCCCTTCTCCTTGAGTTGTTTAGGGCCTCACTAAGTTGCTAAGTCTAGATTTGAATTCATGATCCTCCTGCCTCAATCTCCTGAGCTGTCTCCCAAGATGATTTTAAGGTCCAAAAACACTTTATAAATTTATCATACTGTCCTATGATATAATTAAACTCCAAAGTAAAGATTAGCAAACATGTCGGAAACTGTCAATATGGTGTTTAGCAGTATGACCTATTATCTATTAGTGGACACTCCTGCTACCCTCTCAGGAATGGTTTTATTATTTCAATGTATTTCAATGCTGAGGAAGTTCTATGAAATATATTGTGATCCTGTTTCAAGTTAGTTTTGCAACATACACTTCCATGAATAGCAAAGAAAACACCCTCTGCCACCATGCATTGAGAGGACTGAATCTATATGGCTCAGACATCATCTCTTCCATTCTGGGTTAGGACTTCATAATAGAGGCTGAAGGCTGAAGCATTCACACACAACCATAGAGCAGTTCCTATGAGGATAGGCATATATACCAGAATATGTGTTAAATTTTTTATGGATGTTTAAATACTAGGAAAATGAATTCTGACTCAGGAGAGGACTGCAGCATGATTTAGAAAAGTGGATGCTCTCCCTCTTGACAAGCTAAAGAGTTACATGAGCTCTAGCATAAGAAATTGCAGAGGGAGTGAAGGAGCAGGGCATATTCTGGGGATGATGGGTGGAGTATCAAAGCCAGGATGGGAATGGATGTAGATACAGCTGGGGTTGATCCACATTGTAACTAAGAAGTGCACAACAGATTGTTGTGTGCAGAAGGACAGGGCATGGAGGACTGATTACATCTTTGTTGCGAAATATCACCTTCACTGTGGTGAGAAGAGTTGATGACTTGAAACGTGTTAATATCCTTCAATCCCCAAATAATTCCAAAAGGTAAATGTTCTTGTTAAAACTATTTCTTACACAAGGAAATAAGGAGCCCAGAGACTTACGTGAAACTATTAAAGTGTTACCAGATTATTTGGCTCCAAATGTACTTTTATTTTATCACCACAAACTAAAGCTGTCAATAAAAATCAGAAGGAAAAAAAAAAGATCTGTACTTGATGGAGAGAAATTCCAGAGATATGATCACTAGGTATTTTGCTTTGAATCTGGAACCTACCCTAAGAAGTGAGGTTTAGTGGAAAGATAGTAAGTCTTTAGGTGCACTTGAAGGGGATTTTGGCACATGAGTCTCTTCCTCCCTCTTTGCTTCCCTGCCTCTATGAGGTAAGCAAATGCAGTTTCCTATCCGTACAGTCCCCACCATGATGTTCTGAAGCATTCCATCTCCATAAAGAACAAGGTCAGGGAACTATGTGCTAAAACTTTTTAACACATGAATCACACACACATACACACACACACACACACACACACACACAACAAACCTTTCCTCCTTTCATTTTTTTTTTTAAGATAGTGTGTCACGGCAATGGAAAACTGACTTAAATGTCTGATTTCTGAGACCTGATGAATGGTGAGGCTAAACAGTTAGGAGCAGAAAGTAAGTGTGGTTTTTACCTGATAATTTTGGGAACTCAGCAGGATATTTACACATGTTTAAGAGTCATAAACTTTTCAATGAAAATTAGAACCATAGAGATCCATGAACTTCCAAGGTAGAGATTGCATCACAAAAAGAAAAGAAAGATTATTAACTTAAACATTGGGTCAGAGGGAAACAAAACATTGGACATCCCTCTGATTGTTAGTGTACCTTGCTTTCTCCAGGGGGCTGGTTGGGATGGATTGCATTGGTCAAGATGGCTGCCATCTGCTCTCACTTCAGCCTTTACAACTGCTTCACAAAGTTCACCACTGGAAATGAGGGAAAGAATCCATTGTCAAAGGCCTGGGACTGTTGGGAGACATTTAATTACTTTAAAAATCTCTACAGCCTGGAAAACATAATGGTTAATGGGGTAGTCAGATGGAAGGTGTGGAATTTTAAATAGTAGAAACTGTGTCATCAGAATAGATTGTCACTCCATTAGAGATGATAAAACCTAGTGCATAAATTGTGACTAGTGCATACCTTCAGAATTCATAAATCAATAATTGATAAAATGTACTCAGGTATAACTAAGTAGATTTTTATATGGTAGGTCAAATAAACTGATTACGGTATACTGCAAGAATCAGTGGAATTACGGATAGCATTTGATTCATAAGGTGAAGTGTAGGCATTCCTAGATTTTTTAAATATCTGAGCTACACAAGTTAGATTAAATTAGCCAGGCACTAAGGTTAGATCATAGGTGGAAGTATTAATTCAACTAAAGGATTTTCTTCAGCATCCCCAGAATCAAGCATTCCTTCAAAAAGTTAAGGACTTTGAAGAAAAAAAAATATTTGAAGAAAATGCATATTTTCAAACAGGAAGAAAGGAAAGAGAACCATTTTTGAGGTTAGCTAAAGAAACAGATTGACCAGGAAGAGCTTATAGTTTTGAAAATCTTAAGAGAAAGGAGGCTATGGGAATTGTTAGACAAGTAAAGGGATTTCTGATCTGGTGTCTTGTTTACATGGTAGTTTTTGTGGTATTTTATGTCAAATAAAATAAAATCACTCTGAGCATGTTGCCAAGTGTCACAACAGAGATGTTGTATAGGGAAACTATTGGCAGAAGCAGGCATTCATGTAAGTGTATGGTGTGGTGTAACATTGCTGGTCCTTGTACTCTAGTCTTCTAAAATGTGTGGGAAATACTTCTAGACCACACTAAAATCACATTTGAGTAAAAATTGAGATAATTACAAGACACACCTCCTGATCTAGCCCCTTATTATATGTCTTCATGAAGTCTCCCCCAACTGTATCTGTGAATACAAATATCCTATGTGCCTAACCCTTGTAACTTCCATAATGTTCATCACAGGATCCTGGAAGGTTTGTGTGTGAAGGACACTTTAGAGAACATAAAATTAGGCAATGTTTTATAGATTTAAAAACAGAAAATAAAACACTTGAAAGAGCTTTATTTGAGCTTGAGTAAGTTATTCCTCTGAAGATAACAACTCTGTATCTAACGTGGATAAATTGGAAGAATAAAATGGTATGAGGCAGGCAAGGAAGAATGAGTGGTGTGAGGTGGTTCAGATAAGAGAACCCAGAGGTAGTGTTGGGCTGACCAATAGCAAGCTGAGTAGAGCATGGTATGCAGGGAGCCAGGGCTGCATAGTGGTAGAGAGAGAGCATCCACCACTAGTGCATAGGTAAAACATGGTCAGGTACAAACATTAGAAAGAGAATTCTAGAGACAGTGAAAAAAAATGGAGTCAGGTGATTTAGTTATAAAGATAATAACATATTCTTGGTGAATAGTAAAGGGTTCTGAACAAAGAAAATTACCTTAAACCTCTAACTACCAAGTGTTTTATGTTATCTCTATTGGAAGTTCACTTTGTATCTTCAGTTAGATTCTGAATTTATTGAGAGCAAGAACACAGTCTTCTTTATAGATTTGAATTTAGCCTAGGATAAGAGCTCCGGGAAGAATAATAAATGGGTTTTGAACCAAACTTGGAAGCACATGCTAGCGTTGGGGAGGTCATATGGTAAAAAAAAAAAAAAAAAAAAAAAAAAAAACCTAAAATCTTATTCTACTTTAAATTATTATATGAGTCACTTAAATTTGGGGAGCTTCAGTTTCCTCCCTTACAAAATATAAGAGTTGCTCTTGATAATCTCTAAATCCCTTTCCATTTTTAAGAGTCTCTCCTTTTAAAACTCGACTCGAAATTACTTTGTCTCTAAACTCCTGCTCATATACATCACACCAGTTGACTAATTGGATATCATAAAGCATATGACTTCTGCCTCCTTGTCAATTCTACAGTTCTGATAAAGGAGACCCACATTTTTCAAAGGCCTTAAGGTTCAAAGTGAGTCAGATAGTCCTCAATACTGTGGAGTCCTAAATGGCCTTTTCATGTTCTAAAATAACCAATGTGGAGATCATACTCATAATTCTTGAATTGTACATACCTTGACAAGAAAATAGCACATGTTCACCTAATTTTTGCAGCCTTGAACTTTTCTTTAATACATTTTGAGTGCATCAGAATATCTGAAGTGTGAAAGAAGTGGGTTACAACAATGTAAGTCTTTCTACATGTGATTTGCAGATTTTGTAATAGCTGTCACTTGTCAGAATCAAGGTGCTTCTTCCTGAAAACCAGAATCAAAAAAGAGCAAGTGGAGATGGGAAAAAAAAGGAAGAAATATTTTATAGTTTCTGTGATTGTGCAGATTAGAAGGTTTTATAAATCTTTTTACTTCATATTTCCTTATTATTTACTCATAGCAAAAGAATGACTGACCTGGTGATTTTCCTTTCAAGGTGGCATATTTAGTTTGCAAGTAAAAAATCACTCAAGTGGAAGATCATTAGGACTGGGATGGCCACATTAGTGGACTTTTCCATGCCTATATAGAAATGATAAATATACAACTCATCTGAAAATCATGAATTCTAGATCACTCCTTGAAGGATAATACAGAATTTCACTTACTTTCTGAATTTTTAAAATTTTATCACCAACATTTTTTAAAAAATTATCAGTGGGAATATCAGGTGTTAAATAACCTAATGGTCTATGTACATATAGATTATATAAACAAAACATACAAAGTACAATAGGATTTTTGTTATATGACAGACAGGATTCTGCTATTGTTGACAAAGTTGAAAAATGAGAGGTGACCTTCCTGGTTGGTGGTTTCTGGGGACAAAATTTAGTGGTGAAGGGAGACATGGAGGAAAATAGCATTGGACAAGTTCCTTTTATCCTGTTGCTGTAGTTTCCAAATAAATGAGGGAATATTTGCAAGTCTCCTTTGACTAAAATGTAAATATATGGTTTGTGTGGTTTTAATGTTTGTAGAAGCAGAAGACGGCCCCCAAAGATGTTCACATTCTAATCACTGGAATGTGAAACTATATGGAAAATGGAATTCAAAGTCACACTGTGAAGTTGAAGGGTATCAAGGTTGCAGGTTAGCTCGTGGGAAGATTATCCTAGATTCACAGAGGGGGTCTGATGTAATCTCAAAAAATTTATAAGTAGGAGAGGGAGGCTGGAAAGAGATTATAAGGGGAATGGGAGTTTAAGAGACAACTACCTGCTATTTCTGGGTCTGGAGATCCAGGGAGAGGTTTACAAGTGGAGGAACATGGGCAGTCTGTAAAAGTTGGAAAATCCAAGGATATGGACTCTTCTCAAAGCCTCCAGAAGACAGCACAGTTCTGTCTACACATTGGTTATGAACCAATGAGACTAAATTTAGACTTCTGATGTCCAAAATTTGTGTTGTTTTAGGCCACAGTTTTATGACAATTTATGATAGCATCACCAGATAACTAATACAATATCAAAGTATCAATTATTACAAATATGCTAAAATAAATTAATTTAAAAATCAAATAAAGATCTTCTAACAGGTAAACAACAATTTTCCTTATAGGAATATTTTTATCAAAAACATGATTAGATAAGCAATTGTTTATATAAATAGAATAATGTGAACTGAGATTTTTCTGCTCAATCATGAAAATATAAACTTAGTTTTTTTAAGTGCCAGTACTGTAATCCTTGAGAAAACTAGGCAAAAATCTACTGCTTGCATTCCATTAGCTCATGTCCATAAAATATGAAATTCATTCATTTACAGCTGTTACTTTATTTATCTTTTACTTTATTGTCAACCTTCAGTTTATACAGGTAACTCATCAACTAATGAATGATGCAAATAAACTTTTAATACCTGCTAAATTAATGAGTTCATCTTTTATTTGCACAGTGACTTTCATTTTTGAGTTGCTGTTACAATCAAAACACATATTCATTTTTCTTCACCATGCTATAAATTCTTCTCCAACAAGACTTTAAATGGTCAATTACTGAAGCCCTTCCTTTCAGCCTAATGTTTATTCAGCATCAACTAATGCTACTATGTGAATGAAACATGCCAAGTAAACTGAGTCTGTGTAGATTGCAGCCTCAAGACTTTCCAAAGAGCTCCCTAAGGAACTTCCAGTTCAACTTGCATACCAATTCTGTAATGCCAGTCGGAAAGGAAACCCTGCCTTCATTTCATATTAGGTCAGTGTTAATGAATTAACCAAGAATGCAGTTACCTCATTGCCTGAAATTAGAATCATGATCTGATCAATTAGCCCTCAATCTTTACTTTCACTTCCTCTTCAATTTCATTGAGAAGATAAAAATATCTTTCCTGACTCTGAGGACTATTGTTGCCAAAATCAATTGAAATAAATCATAAAAGCAGAATTTTTAGTTATAATGGTATAAAAAGAATAAAATATTTAGGAATAAATTCAACCACAAAGGGAAAATCATGTTCACTGAAAGCTGCAAAGCATTGTTCAAGAAATTTAAGACACAAATAAATAGAAAAGCATCTCCATCCATAGATTGGAAGACCTGAAATTGTAGAGATTACAGTACTACCTAAAGTGATCTACAGATTTAATGCAAACTTATTAAAAACACAACAACCTTGTTTTGCAAATAGAAGCATGCATCAAAAGTTTCATTTGAAATAACAAGAGATCTCATACCCAAAACAATCTTAAAAAAGAACAGAGTTTGAAGACTCATATTCCTTGAATTTAAAACTTACCTCAAAGCTATAGCAATCAAAACAGTGTACTCATTCATCAGAGGAGTAGGATAGATAGCTCACAAATATACTCTTTAATACATGGATAATTGTTTTTTCACAAGAATGGTAAGACCATAAATTAAAGAAAGGACAGTCTTTTTAACAAATGTTTCTGGGGAAATGGGCTATCC